TGTTTTCAGTCTGTTAAAGATAGTATTACCAATAGCAGTACAATTTGCACAATACCTTTTTTGTTTAGTTTTCTTCTTGGAAAAATTTATTAAAAACAAGTTTTTGTCTAAATTAAGGTGAATTCATGGTTCCTTTTTCCACATAATGTAACCGGTAGTACTTATGATTAAAAAAATAATAATTATGTGATCGGTATCGGTGATCAGTTGTGATCGGCCCTCATGGGTGATCGGAATCAGAATCGGCAGGAAAAAACCTGATTGGCACAACTCTAATACATATTAATACAATCTCAATTTTACACAATAAGACATTCTTAAAAAAATCAGGACAAAAGAAACAAATCAAAGTCAGGTTAAGATATTTGTAAGCAGTCAAAGCAAAAAAAGCACATAAGTTTGTGTTTGATTTATTTCAGCATATTCTTTATATTAAAGTACAATATTCTTATGTTCTATGTGTCATCAACATAAAGCATCTGTTAGTATGTTTCAAAGTTATGTTGTTATTGATATAAACAGATCTTTATGTTAAGACATCACCTAAATGTTTTCAGTCTTTGCCTCTGTGAACTAAAAGAAAGTTAAATTGAATAAATTGCCACAAATAAAAGTTGCATTTAACAAGTGGTTTAATTATTAACATTATATGTTCCATGTCTATGCTACACTGGGTCTAATAAGACTATGAAAAACATCAAACAAAAATCATAACCCAGCAAATGCATTACATGTTTCAGCAAGACAATTAAGTAGTAAATCTTCAACCAAGCTGTAACTGTATTATATTTTCTTAAATTTTTTATATGTCCTAAAAGTTATGGCACATTTTAAAACAACAGATTATGTTGTTATAAAATAAACAAAATCAAATACATCCAATAAGGGACATACACTGAAAACTACACATTGTGTAAAAAAAGAGAGAGAGAAATAAGGGAAAACAATAAAAAAAAAAAAAACCAACCTTTCCTTCTGAAGGCAGCTGCAAAATTAGATAGTTTTTACCTGGAAACTGCTTCTTCAAATTCTGTTGCAATGAATGTAAAATTGGTAACAAATTTAATTCACATAATTGAATTATAAGCTTGACCTTCGTAAAAAATATATATATATATATATATATATATATATATATATATATATATATATATATATATATATATATATATATATATGTTAAACCTAAGTCAAAAATAAGCCATCAGCCGAAATACACTTGCTCAAAATTTGGTGTAGGGATTACACTTGATTAAAAGTACATCTGTGTTACTGGTCTTAAGAATGAGAAACAAAAACTAATTCATCACTTTAGCGTAAATTAAATCTATCGAAATGTTTTAACGTCAGTGTAGACCGTCTCCTCTTGCGCTGTTCTTACATTCCTTCTTTCTCCTTTTTTAGCTTTGTTCTTTTTGAATGTCGGTGCAGAATAAACCAAATGGTTTTCTTCACTCTGGGAAAACGATAAGAAGGTTAAAGAATATTCTATAACTTAATAAAAACTGCACATTTACAAGAATACTTTGCACTTTACCTGCTTTTGGTTATCACCACCACTTGTTGCCGGACCTGTTTGCATATAGTGAAAAATATAAGAATCTTGAACCTATTGAAAATTCTTTTGATGAACTGATGAATGAAATGTGCATTACCATTGCAGCAGCCACACGTTTTCTTCTTGATTTTATAAATGAGCCAAGATATTACAACAAGACTTATAACCAAAGCCGAACACAATGAAGGAAGTAATATTTTGGAAAAATCCATAGAGTTGGCACCTAGGAAGGAAAAAATAGAAGAAAAAAAAATGCATTTTAATAATTATATTCCAGTAGCCTGTCCATCATCATTATTTAGAAAGTTCTCTACCCCAAAGTTTTAATCTGTTTCCAAATAATATCTGTCCACATGCAGCCACAGCGCAGTGATGAATCCCACTGTCAGAGGTCCCAGAAAAGTTGTAGAAACATTTCTGTGCAGTTTGAGCTTCAGGGCTGTTTTCACATTCATCTCCACTGTTTTCTTGTAGATAAAGTAAACTGGGATGAGAATGATCTGGTCCAGCTTTGAACCAGTAAACCCTGCTATCTGCTGGACATGTTTTCTTCTCGGAGTCGGAGAGAACTGAACACTGCAGAGTGTCTGAGTTTTCTGCATTAACTGAGCCAGATGGAGAGTCCAGAATGACATCGACAATATCTGATTCCTGACCTGGAGAAAAAAAAGATATGGTTTACTTTCACAGGTAAAAAAAGGAATAAGTACGAATATGCAGTTAGATGTCATTAACAGATTTTTTTTTTACCTTTAATTTTCAAAAATGTTCCTTTCATAAATATGAAATCAAGTTGTCTGATTTTGATACAGTAGTAAAGTCCAGTGTCGTTTCGCTTAGCTTCATTGATATGAAGAATAAATTCTTTTTCCTCTTGTTTGGTCTGAATGTGAGGAATCTTTGAAACGTCGTCAATCTTGAAATTAACTGTTGATCCAAGAAATTCAGGCCAGTTTCCAGAAACAAGTCGGATCCAGTAAAAAGTTTCTCGGTAGAGAGCGGAGGTCTTGCGAGGACAGCTTAGGGTCACATTTTGTCCAGCAGTCACAGTTTTTACCTCAATCTTCAGTTCGTCACTGCAAACTGGAAATAAATCCATCAAAATAATCTCATTTCAAAAGACTAAAATAAAAACAGAATTTAACACAATTAAAAATAATAATATACAAATATGTATATTATTTTAAAACTGTAAAACTCTAAAATAAGGCATATACTTCACACTTGCATGAATACTTACATCCAAATCTGAGAATAAGTAATGCATAAAACAAGAATTGAATATTCATATTGACCCACATTAACGGCTACATCCAACTAAGAGATGATCAGAGGAGGACGGACCCTCCTAATATAATGCTGCAGAGTGGGAGTGAACAATTTCAGAACAATTTGATTGGTCTTTTGTATCGTGAGGTGTCACTGTACAACAACCACAATGGAAATAATATAAACCCCTTTTTTCCACCCTTAACACAAGAAAGAAAGTGTGCACACTTTCCTACCGATGAAAAAATGGTTTATGTTTGATAAGCAAATGTCTACATCCCATTTTGTCCAATGTGTTAATCTAAAAAACACATTTCCTGTGATACAAAAAAAGGTTTGCTCTTTGTTGTAAAATAAGATATGGTTCTAATATCTATGAAGAACATGTGGTCAAGTTTCCACTTATCCAAAACAGACAGCAGACTTTTCATTGACATTTTGAAATAGTCTTTTAATGGAAATGAAGATGCAGATTTGAAATAAAGAGGGGAAGGTCTGAGTAAAAAAGAAAAGTGGTGGAATCTGCTATTCATAAAATCAATGGTTGAAGTGATACAGCAGTGTAAAAGAAGTCATGTAGCCCTGA